GAAAGGTGTTCTATGCAAAAGGTGTTCGGCCCCTTTTCTTTGGCAACACAGAAAGGAGAATTCTACGTTGGCGGCCGAAGGCCACCTACGCAGAAAGGTGTTCAGCCGCTGAGCCCCCTACTGTATATTTTAATCGGAACAAAATAACCTTATCGTATTTTCTTTTGGTCTTGCTTTCCACTCTTGGTTTTTTAGATATGGCAACACAGTCCTGCCGCCATTTGCACATATTCTGCATGTACTCTCATAAAATTAAAAAACAATCAATTTTTGATTAAAAAAAAGCCGTAATATACTTAAAGTATTTATTTATTTGAACGTGCACACTCTTACCGCGCATATATTGAGTGTAAATAACTTGTAAATTTAGTGGAAAGTGCATTGTATATTGTGAAATAGTCCCATACAAGTTGGTGAAAATTGCAAACTTTAATAACAAATTACTTAAAAGCTATAAGGTTCCGCGTTTTAAAACTTTACATATACCCCCTTTAGAACCCCCTCACGACCCGCCTATTTTCCTTAATACCGTACTCAGGGGTTACCATTCTAAAATTTTCCTGATTTATCGCTATCGATAGTGCTATCGTTAGTTTTGTTTTCTTCGAGACTATGGTGAATATTGATAGTTTTTCTGAAAACTATCAAATCTATCGATGGTGTGACTATCGATAGTTTGACACTTCTAGCGGAGGAATATTGAGAGTACAGTATATACAGCAATAAACCTTTTTGCAGTTTTTCATCATTTGATCCCAGAGGAGTACTTTTGGGTTGTGTGCAGAGGTTTCGTTTTGCGCGCACGGCAACACTTACTGTGGGGAATTTCGCCTCATTATTAGAAAAGGTTCATTTCGAGAATAAAATATATATAATTATGTGTTATTTATGAACCAAATGTAGGTGAATTATAATATTCATCTTTAATGTATGCTTNAAAGTTCATTTCGAGGATAAAATATATATAATTATGTGTTATTTATGAACCAAATGTAGGTGAAGTATAATATTCATCTTTAATGTATGCTGATATTCATGCCTAATGAAGAATAATATCAATAGTTAAGTACGTAATTAACGCTTGAGTTTTATAAACAGGAAAACTCAAATCGTAATTATAGCATTGAATGGAGTTTTCTTAAATGTAAGTTTGGGCCTGTGCCAATTGATGGAGAAGTTCTCTGGATAGTAAATTTTTGACAGCTATGAGGTGAATAAAAATGTTTGATACGGCAGGGCTAGTGAAAAATTTGACAGCAAGCATTATCAAGAAGAAGAACGAACAACGCACGTATACACATAAATTAAAGAAAACAAAAGCGAGTGGAAATAAAAGAA